AATAAAGATTGAAATTAAATATGGACAAGCAATTAATTAAGAAGATTAATAGTTGATTAATCATTATAAAAAGAAATGTGTTACATATATATAATTTGTGATGAAAAATGAATTTTTTTCTTATTTTCTTTGAGAATGCTCAAGTAAGATATTTGATTAAATTTCATTTAAAATTCTAAATCATTTTTTGTAAAAAGTCTTTTTAATATTTGAAAATATTTTAGAATTTCTTAAATGTAATCTATTTTGTATATCCATTTATTTCGATAAAAATATGATAACACTATAAACTTTTATAATAATTTCGATAAAATAATTAATACATAAAAAATATAATTAAAATTTATCAAACATTTGTTGTTCTTCCGGCATTGATAACATTTTGGTAAATATATCTAATTTTTCTTTATTCCAATATTTGTGTATTCTTTTTGGTCTTTGAATTCTCGACGAAGATTGGGAGTTTTCATTTAAATTGGAAAAATTAGTATTACTATTGGATAATAAAGATTCTATATTAAACATTTTTTTTTATTATTTAAGAAAAATTAAAAATAATTAATATGTAAGTATTTTAATTTTTTATTTTGAATTAAATTTTAACACATTTTTTTTATAATGATTAATCAACTATAAATCTTCTTAATTAATTGCTTGTCCATATTTAATTTCAATCTTTATTCTATTAAAAATAAAATCTTATTTTGTTTACCCCCTTTTATAGTATATTTAAACATGTGTATCGTTTCACTGTAATCAGTATTCTTCATCTATAATAAAAAAATGATTTAAATATATTTTAAAAAAAGTTTAAAAAATTATCATTAAAAAAATATACGTAATAAATTTTTGATTGATTTATAATTGATTATGATTGATTGCCTTTTAGCAATGCAGTTTAGCAATGCATTAGCAATTCAATGTATAGTGGGGAAATTTTTTCCGGGGAATTATTTTCCAGGGGAATTTTATTCCGGGGATTTTTTTTCCGGAGAATTATTTACCTGGGAATTATTTTCTGGGGAATTTTTTTCCGGGCAATTATTTTCCGGGTATTTTTTTTCCGGGTAATTAATTTCCGGGAATTTATTTTCCGGGGATTTTTTTCCAGGGAATTAATTTCCGGGGATTTTTTTTCCAGGGAATTAATTTCCGGGGATTTTTTTTCCGGGAATTTTTTTCCGGGATTTTTTTTCCGGGGAATTATTTTCCGCTTACCCAACATTTCCACCCCTAACGGGCCAAGGACATGTAAAAAAAAATATATAATATATATACAATATAAACACATTCTAAATTTACCGCACATAATGTTTTTTTTTCTTTTAATCATTTTCCGGTTGCAATAATTTAATTTCTTCCATCTCCGTATCAGTATATTCCATATTTTCCTTTGTATTATCAACTTTCATATTTTTCTTTTCAAGATCCGTTGTATTTATATATCTTGGGTTCTTCTCCAGGCGTATCCCTAGTTGATTGGTATCTACCTTATAGCTTGGGTCCTTTGTAGCTTTTGGGGTTCCTTGATATCTTACGGGAGGCCACACTCTATTCCCATAATACTTCCTCCTGGATTCTAATTCATTCACTTTATTATAATCCATCTGTCCCACATTTATTTGTTTTTTCATCTTCGGATCATAATTTCTTGAACAACTAGGAATATTATCAGAAACCTCTAATTCATCATTATGAAATTTCGGTACACAGTTTTTTTTTCAATAAATAAGAAGGAACTTCATAATCAGCAAGCAAATGCTCTTTGGACTGGCAGCGGAAACATTGCCGTCCCATGATATATTTATTTTTCTAAATTCCATGTTTTATCAATATCATATTTTCCCCTAGGAAAATAGGGATATAGTCGAATGTCTTAGCCTTTATGGCTTCGGCATTCCTAAGGCTTTATTTTTTTTTGAATCAAAAATATACACAGAATATAATTGCGAGAAAACAATAATAATAACAAATTAGTAATATGTGCTATTTATAGGGTAAATTATTTTAAAAAAAACAAACAATTAAAATAAAATAAAATAACAATATGTTTTTTTATTTTTGCACAACCCTCAAAAAATAAATGACAATTAAATATATAATATATAACAAAACAGATTTAAAAAATACATACGGTAATTTTTTTGCATTTACAATTTTTATATAATTTAATTTTTTTTATAAAATACATACGGTAATTTTTTTGCATTAACAATTTTTATATAACTTAATTTTTTTTATAAAATAGAGTTTAATATTTTTTTCAAATGTTTAATATACGACAAATTTTATCTAATAATACAAATTCATTTACATTAAATCCTGATCCTGTTTTATCTAATTCAAATTCAATACCTAATATTACAAATAATTTCCATATGATCAATTCTTCCTCTGTAAGTGGTGATTCTATTACTGATCCAACATCGGCTATTCCAAGAAGAAAATATACTAACTGGAATAAGGAAAAAATTGATATAGTAAAAAAATTATTATCGGTACCCGAGAGAGAGCGAATGAAAATCCTTTTGATTTTTCAAATTAATAAAATGCATCAATTTTTGGAGATTGGTTATCGAGGACAACCAATGAATTAAGGTAAATTTATAAAAATATAATTTATATTGAAATATATTTTAAAGGAATTTAGAAAAAGGAGAATATATATATAAAGAAAAAACGAAAATTAAAATATCCAATTTTTAATGTATTTTTTAAATCTGTTTTGTTATATATTATATATTTGATTGTCATTTATTTTTTGAGGGTTGTGCAAAAATAAAAAAACATATTGTTATTTTATTTTAATTGTTTGTTTTTTTTTAAATAATTTACCCTATATAATAATAAATAAAGGGGGACAAAAAATCATCATATTAATTATTGTATCTTTAGATTTATAAAAAACAATGTGAAGTATAATATTAAAATTTACCACATATGTTAGTTGAAGAAACGATATGTATATATTTTTTTTCCTTTAAAAAAATTGGAATGGAATGTGATGATATTCCATGTTTATAGTTTTAATAGTTATAATTATAAATTTATATTTTTTTTTTACCCCTCTCTTCACATCTTTATAATTTTTTTTGTGGTTTTCATACTAATTTTTTTTCCTTAATTGATGTGATGATATTCCATGTTTATAGTTTTAATAGTGATAATTATAAATTATATTTTTTTTATCCCTCTTCACATCTTTATATTTTTTTGTGGTCCATATTTATTTGTTTTATAATTGAAACTTAAGAAAAGAAGAAATAATTGTAAATGATATCATAAAACCTCATGTGTTGTCTGATAAATTTACAACATAATAAATTGTCGTTGGCTTATAAAGGATTATTTACCACCGGCCCGGTCCTTCAGGACTCTAATCTAGACCGATGATTCATTCATTAAAATGCATTAGTTCATATATTGATTTCAGCCATTGAAAGGGATTTAGACGAAATGCGAAAGGAAATAGCATACCAACAGCCAGAGTTGTTAAGAGATATTTTTTAAATGGCTCTAGATACAGATACATCGCCTGTATCATAATTGTATACAGGGTTCGTTTTTCTCTATCTGAAACTGATTATGAGAGCACAAAATACTTAAACAATATTTTAATATTTTGTTCTCATTCAATCGAACACCATATAAAATTTTTATCATTCTTTTGAACAAATTCCCATTTAAAACTAGCATTTATTATAAAAAAAATTTTTTTTACATTAAACTTATAATTTGTTAATTAAAAGTTAGTGGAATATCTATATATTAAAAATTAAATAAATTTATTTGCTTAAAATAAATTTGTGCATCAATGGTATTGTTTTTATTTATTAGTGGACGTCATGGCTAAGCAAGGATTTATATATTCCTTTACATGAAAAAAATATCCTTCACAATTTTGAACTGATATTTATATTTAAATGTGAAAAAAAATGATATTTAATGAATATATATTATTTTATATATAAGTTTTAATTGTATATATATATTTTTTAATTTTTTATTATATTAGTCTTAATATTTTTTTATATATTTATTTAAATTATATGCTCATATGAGATAAAATGAATTTTGCATTCAAATATTTTTATTTTTAGATAAAAAAAGCTTTAAATTACAGTATATCAAAATGTATTTTAAAAATAGCTAAAATAGATATAGATAGGACATTTTTATATCTAGATACTTTAACAACTCTGCTAACAGCCAATGAAATTAGCTACAGCTAGGGTTTAACAATCTTCAAATGAGCATTTGAAAATTTTTTCGCCCAAAATTTTGAACAAAATCTTAGAAGATCAATGTAATTGAAGATTTGATTTTTTAAAGATCAAAAATTTTTTACAAATATTTGTGATTTAATCATAAAAAATTTTTTTTATGCATAAATAGGCCATAATATTACTTAAGAAAGATTTGGAATTTTTGGCAATATTAGATCAAAAATCCTGTTATGCCCAAAAAGTTTCTTTTAAGAAAATAATTTTAAAAAATCTTCCGAAATCGAAATCTTTGAAGATTTTTTATTTTTGAGTAAATGTTAAACCATAGTTTTGATATCATAGTTCTATTAAATAGGATACACTTAACTATATACCTTGAAAAAATCTCAATTATTTATAAAATAATTTATGACAATCCTTCAGATATATTGTCTTTGGAAATTCCGACAATTTGTCAACCGGTTACGAATTCTTATATATTAGTTTTAAAAGTCTCGGACATGAATCTAAGCTTGAGATAGAAAGGCAATTAACTTGTTCTAGATTTTGCAAGGCCGGCTGGTCTTTGTTAAAAAAATATATGCCGGTGTATTTTTAGAGTCCTAAAAAAATTAGGTTCGTGAACAACGAACGTCCAAATTTTTATCCATATCTTAGTATATAATCCCCTCCCCCCCCCACTCCCAACGTTTTTAGAAAAACGATATTATAGCTTTATACATTCTATTTATATTAATATCTACCTTTATATTTAAATCTAAAATTTCTGCACAGAGGAATTAAAACGTCCCTTGGATGACTACGTAAGGGACCATTTTTCTTCCAAACTGGTTCAAATTTACAGGAGCAAAGAGCGACTAGGTCTTATTCGAGCGAGGATAGCTGGGGCCGAAAAGTCCAATGGAGATGTTTTAGTATACCTTGACGCCCATTGCGAAGTCAACATTGGTTGGTAAGTCACCTTATTATTTAGATTTGATTGTTTTTATACCGAAAAAAAAGATATGAGTAAATTTAATTTATTGACGGTTCATTCACGATCATTAGTCCTAATATATTATGTGTGTGCTGTGCAGTATAAAATTACATAAGAAAAAGAATATTTAAAAAAAATTATTTTCTATAAGATATATTTAAAAATCGCTCTCTTGATCATGTATTCTATTACATAATTTTTACATCTTAACCTGTTTATTAAAAAAAAAGAAAAAAATATTATGATTTCGGAAAGTTTATATGAGAATAAATAAAGATTATTAGAAACCTGCCCGCCAGAGCTGGTTTTAAAATGGTAAAATTTAAAAAATCGCCATGGTAAAATAAAAAATACAAACCCAGGCTGGGCTTAACTTTTTTACAGAACCCGGTCAAGGCCGATTTAAAAAAATTAATTTAAATTGTATCAAATGATTAGTTAAAAAATGTCGATAAATTATATAATGGGTCGTCTTTTAGCATTCATTTACTGTTAGGTTTAGTTATTAAAATAATTTTGATAGATTATTTATGCCTGAAAGCCTGAAATTGTTAAGGCATTAGGCAGGTTTTGATGGGATGCTTTAAGCAAACATTATTTTTAATAAAAAAGAAACCCAGCTATATTTTATAGAGCACCAGAACTAGACAATACGAAGATGACGGACTTGTTTTTTTGAAGATTATATGGCCATATTAAGCAGGGTTTAACAAAAAATTTTAAATGAGCATTTGAAGATTTTTTCTTCCAAATGTTTGAGCATAATATTTTTATAAAAAATGAAGAAAAAATTATAATTTCTTCATGGAAGATTTTATACATTGAAATCATTAAAGATTTGCTCATAAATATTTTTTCAAAAAAAAAATTGGAATTAGGCAAAATTTGATTGAAAATCTTTCTTAAGCATACTTAAGAAAATCTTCATTTTTTTAATCGTCAGAGATGAAAAATATTTGAAGATTCTTGATTTTCAGCAGTTTCTAAAATCCCAATTTTAAGCTATAGCAAGTTCTTTCAGGTAGTGTGTTACCACTCCTTATATAGGATTGTAATTTATTTATCGAAGCTAGTGGGAGAGACTTAATACAAATAAAGAACGAATGTTACAATTCCTTATATGAATTGTAATCAATTTGTCGAAGGTTGTAGTAGAGACAGTAACAACTCTAATTTTGATTTTATTTAAAATTTTTCCATTTATATACATCTTTCTAATATGCAAAAATTACAAGTATAATGAAAATTCATAAAAAAAATAATGAAAATTACAAGTATTTATAAACATAATTAAAATTACCAGTCTATAAAAAAATAATTTCCTTGACTACATATTCAAATTAATATTTAACCCTCGTCGATTTATAATAAAAATTCATAAAAATTACAAATATTAAAATTACAAGTATGTATTCAAATTAATAATTAGTACACGAATACAACACCTCCACCCTTAAGACTATCTTTCCACGGCCTCTTTCGTTAGTTCCCCATTTTCCCACACCGAAAACTCTGTACCGTTACTTGAGGACGCTATTGTCATTGGACAGAACTTTAATTTGTGCATCCCTCCGCACGACCAACATTCTAACCGGTTTCTCAACCCAATATGGCTCAAATCTTCGTTCGATCCGTTGTCTTTTGGTTACTTCCTGTAGTAATTCCTCGTATCTTTGTTGGGCTTCCGTTCTTGCCGCTTCAATCCATCTGTTCGATTCTGCCGATCCATCCACTTCTCTAATTTCCATCTTTATAATCTTATTACCTACTCGGAAGTATGATGCTATCTACAAAAATTACTATAAAAATATATACATATTCCATAATCTTCTAATGATCTACTATCCACCTGGTAATTTCTTAACCGTTTAAACCCTCATAATTAGGTCTATCATTAATTTTATTTCATCGAGAATGATGATTCTCCTAATTAAGTTTATCATCCATTTATCTCTTGATAAAATATGATTCTCCTAATTATGTCTATCATCAATTTCATTTCATCCAAAAATATGATTCTCAAATTAGGTCTATCATCAATTTATCTTCTTATAAATTATGATTCTCATCATTATGTCTATCATCAATATGATTCTCATAATTATGTCTATCCTCAATTTATCTCTTTATAAATTGATTCTCATAATTATGTATATCATCAATATGATTCTCATAATAATGTCTATCATCAATTTATTTCTTCTAATTATATCCCATATCTTTTACTTGCCCTAAGCTTCTAAGTCTTACTTGTTTCAGGTGTCTAGTAAAGGTTCCTTCTTGCCCTTCAATTTCTCTACCATGATAAAATATTTTCTTTTTTCATATTCTAAAAAATCTACATGTATTCTTTTACATGGAATGTCCGTTTCTGACCATTTATCTGCTTTATTTTTTGCTGGTACATTAGCCCACATGTTACAAGTCTCGCAGCTTCTAGCTAATTCTTCAATTTCACTATTCATCTTGGGCCACCAAATATATTCTCTTGCTTTATTCTTCATTCTTTCTATGCCTTGATGTCCTGTATGTAATACGACTAATGTATCTTTTCTTAACTTACTCGGTATCACTAATCGATATCACAATTGTCTTCTATATTTAATTCATTCCTTATATTCTTAAAAGCTTTGTCTTTACTTTTCCATTCTGCCTCTCCTTTCAAACAAGTTCTAATTCTTATTAATTCTTCATCTTTTTCGGATATCTCCTCTATTCTTTCGAACGTTATCGGTTCTTCTCTTGTATCTATTTTCAAACTTTACTATTTAATTTTTCCTCCTCTTCTATATATTCTAAACTATTGATTACTGTATCCTTTTCTGCCATGTCTTTATTAAACAATCTCGATAATGTATCTGGTAAACAATTTTGTTTACCCGCTCTGAATTTTATCTCAAAATCGAAATTACCAACTAAAATTAACCATTTCTGTAGTCTTGGTGAAATCATAAGTTCTTTATTTTCTTTCTTAAATAAAGCTACCAACGGCTTATGATCCGTATATAAAACAAACCTTCTTTCAATCAGATATTCTTTGCACTTCGCTAACCCGAATTTCACAGCCAGAGCCTCTCTCTCAATCGTGGAGTAATTTTTCTCAGTGCTATTAAACCGTCTCGATAAAAATAAAATCGGTTTCTCAACATTATCGGTCATCTGTAATAAAACTCCTCCTATACCTTCATTAGATGCATCAACCGCTAATATAATATCTAATTTCTCATTCAAACAATTTAAAATCGGTTTCTCTACCATCTTTATTTTCAATTTTTCGAAACTTTTCTCCTGTGCTTCTCCCCATTCAAACCTTTTATTTTCTTTAATTCATACAACGGTGAGGCAATTTCTGCAAAATTTTGAACAAACCGATGATAATAATTCGTTGCTCCTAAAAACGCCTGTGCTTCAGTTTTATTATTTGGGGCTCTCATATTCATTATCTTATCTATATTCTTTGCAATTGGAGTAATTTCATTTCCCTTTATAATATGTCCTAAATACTTTATTTTTCTTGCTCCAAAAACACTCTTATTCATATTAGCTTTTAAACCATTTTCTAATATAATATAAAACACTTTAACTAACCTAGTATTGTGTTCTTCTTCTGTTCTACCAGATATCAAAACATCGTCTAAATAATACATAATTCCCTTTATTCATTGAAATAACGCCGCCATTGTTCTTTGAAATATTGGAGCCGATACTTTCAAACCAAATGGTAAACGACAAAAAGCAAATAATCCCCTATACGTTATAATCGTTAATATCTTACTTGTTTTCTCACTCACCTTTATTTGCAAGTAAGCATTCGAAAAATCTATCTTTGAAAAATTTTTTGCTCCTCTTAAATTAGCCAGCAATCGCTCTATTCTAGATGGATATCTTTCGTTTATTACCCACGGGTTAACTGATACTCTATAGTATATACACAGTCTTAAACTGTTATCTGGTTTTCTTATGGGAACTAACGGTGTTGCCCACACACTATGCGCTATAGGTTTTATAATTCCTTCTTTTAACCATTTGTCTAATTCTTTATCTATATCTTCTATCCACGAAAACGGCAATCTTCTTGTGCACCAATATTTAGGTCGATAATTTTGTTCTAATCGTATATCTACTTCAAAATCTTTAATAATTCTTCTTTAAAGACTTCCTTATATCTATTCAAAATATTCTTTATTTCTTTGTTAAAATTATCCTCAACAACATTCAGTTCTACTATTTTATTAATTCCTTGTTGTTTGTCTTTGACTGTATTTACCTCTATTGTCTTTATATTTCTTGTTTCCATATTTTCTTCTATATCTAATTAAAAATTCTGGTGTTCGATTTTTGAGTTCATCGAGAACTATATCTCTTAAACAAGGTAAATCAGTCTTCTTTTTATCCTCACTTCTTATTATCTCTTTCTTTATTTTGTTGTTCTCACGGACATTTTCAAACAAAGACCACAAATTGTATTCAGGACCTATCTTCTTAATGTCATTCCAACCTAAAATAGGCTCCATCTTTAGTGTCGTAATCCATAACTTTACTTCCTTATTTATATCTAACAATTTTATCACATAAAAACCTAGAATTTTAACCATGCTACCTAACTTTTATTCTCTTTGCAATGAATCTTTCTTTTGAAAAATATTTATTAAAATCCTTTACATTCATTAAACTAATCTCAGCTCCTGTATCCAATAAAAAGCATATTTCAATTTCACCTATTTTTATCTTAATCCTCGGACATTTATTTTTCCTAATTATTTTTTCGAAATCAATTTTACGTACGTTTTATATTTCAACCTTTTCCTTTAAAAAATTTTTATCATCAAAATTATATTTATTCATATATTTTAAATTAATATTATTATCATTTATTCCTAAATTATAATTAAAATTATAAAAATCAGATATACTATTAATATTATAATTTATAATCCTTATGTTTATTTAGTCATTTATTACACGCTTCTTGAGCA